AACTATCTGGCCAACTGATTGGAAGAGATCCATATTTTGCCCATTCCAAAGAGCGGTGACCCAACTGAATGCAGAAATCATCAGACAATATCATTAGTATTGCATGCAAGTAAAATTTTGCTTAAGATAATTCAAAAACAGCTGTAATCATAACACTGACAGGGAACTGTTAGAGGCTCAAGCCAGATTCAGAAGAAGACATGGAACGAGGGATATCATTGCTGATGTCAGATGGATCTTGGCTGAAAGCAGAGAATACCAGAGAGTTGTTTACCTGTGCTTTATTGACGATGCAAAGGCTTTCAATTGTTTGGACCATGACAATCTTTGGACAACATTGTGGCGAATGAGTATTCTGGAAAAATTGTGCTCTTGCGTAAGGTTACTCTATACGGACAGACATACCCAGCACCGGGCCTCTCATGCAGGGTGGCTTTAATCTTCAAGACAATCAGCATCCTTTAACCCTATGATGAATCAGATGAGCCAGCAAGACAATTTTCCTCTCCAAGGAATTCATCTGAGGGCCAACGTGATGAGACCCCAGACAAACATCCAGCAGAGACTGCAAGGCCAGCAGTTTCTGAATCAGAGCCACCAGACTCTTGAAATGAAAATGGAAAACCCACTACCGGGGGCCCTGCGGTGATGCGGCCCATGATGCAGCCCCAGGTGAGCGCGCAGGGCTTTCTCAATGCCCAGATGGTCGCCCAGTGAAGCAAAGAGCTGCTCAGTCACCACTTCCAGCAGCAGAGGATGGCCACGATGCTTCAGCCCCAGCAGCCCTGGGCCTTTAGCCCACCACCTAATGTGACTGCGACCCCCAGCATGGCTGGGGTTTTGGCAGGACCTGTGATGCCGCAAGTGCAGCCACAGCAGTTCCCGTACCCACCAAGTTATGGAATGGGCCAACAACCTGACCCAGCCATTGGTCCAGTGTCAAGTCCTCCCAATGCAATGATGTCATCAAGAGTGGGTCCCTCCCAGAACCCCATGATGCAGCACCCTCAGACGGCACCAATGTAACAGTCCTCAGAAATGAAGGGCTGGCCATCAGGACACCTGGCCAGGAACAGCTCCTTTCCCCAGGAGCAGTTTGCCCACCAGGGGAACCCCAGGGCCTATGGGATGGTACACATGAATGGCAGCACTGGTCACATGGGACAGATGAATATGAACTCCGTGCCCATGTCCGGCATGCCCATGGGGCGCCTGAGTAGAAGTACTGCTGACATCACTGTACAGGTGACGCTGATCAGGCATCCTGGAGTAAGGACCAGCTGCAATCTCCGTCAAGGGTGTTCCGAGTGGTGCCATTTCCGCAGGCCTGAAGTGCAATATCTGTGTCCCCGCCCCCACCCCCTCACCACCTCCTGTATGTCATGGGTTCAGAACGGACGGATTGTTTTGGCAGTCTGCCTCCTAGGGGTGTGCTCTGGGGACACAGGGTGCCGTATAGTGAAGTCCTTTGGTGTCATTGCTTTCTGCCTTGCTATCCACAGTCTTTCAAATGTACATTTGTAAGGTACATACACCAAAAGAGGCAGGTGTTTGAACTTAACAAGGGAATGCTAAATGGTTTAAAATTAGGAAAGGTGTATACCAGGGTTGCATTGTTTCACCATACTTA